TGGCGACGTCCGGCTGCGGCCAGACAGGAATTATTTCGACCCAGTCTCCCGCCCTTCTTGATGTCACGGCTTTCGTCTGTTCTGCCAAACCGCCCCGGTTTCCAGAACAACGACTACTTTGGCTACACGCTCTGCTCCTCGCCGCCCGACGACGACGACGACGACGGTCCCTTGGATCGCTACGCCGACCGCTACCATCAAGCAGTCAATAGGAACAGCAAACGCCGTACCCGCATCCACCAGCCTAGCCCGTTCCCCCTCCCTATACACGACTTCGGTGGGTTCTGCCCACCGGCGTCGCTGCGAAAGCTGGCCATGATCAGCCGCCTCGCCGCCGCAGCCTCGAATTCGAATACCGCGCCCTCGTCCCCTAGTCTCGCCGGCAATGGACCCAACGGCCTCGTCAGCAGGACCGTCCCCCGCCACCACGACCTGCTTCTCCCGCCCCCCGCGACGACGCAGCCGCCCTCGTTTGGTAATGCCCTGAGGGCCCTGCAGCACGATGTCGACGGCGGCAGCCAGCCCGGCAGCCAGCCCTCGACGGGGCCTCCGTCGGTCGCTTATGGCAGCATGCCGTCGACAGCGCCGGGCTCCCCCCGAATGTGAGCAATGAGTACCCCTATTTTCCCGCCAAGTATGACTAACACGACTCTGCCAAACAGCCCTCCACTGCGACAAAACTCGGGCACCACCACGCCCCGAGTGCGACCCCATGCGACGACGCTAAACATCCCGGGAATGACCCGATCGCGCGCGTCTCCCGACGGCCGCATCCCCGACCGCGATGTAGCGTCGAAGCTTGTCATCATCATGGTGGGCCTGCCCGCGCGCGGAAAGTCGTACATCACCAAGAAGCTGCACCGCTACCTCCAGTGGCAGCAGCACGACACTAGGATTTTCAACGTGGGCAACCGCCGGCGCATTGCTGCGGGCATCAAATCCCCCGTCAAGGGGGCTCCGACATCGGCCCCTAGGGACGACTCACCCACCCGGGCCGCCACCATTCTCCTCCACGGCCCCTCGCCCCCCCACATAGTCGTGCAGGACGAGCCCACCAAGCTGGACCTCAATGGCCCTCCCCTCACCAAGCAGCAGCTGCACGAGGCCATGGACCAGTCGGCCAAGTTCTTCGACCCCAAGAACCAGTGCGCCGCCCGCTTGCGGGAGCAAGTGGCGCTCGAGACGCTCGACGAGCTCCTTGACTACCTTCTCCACCGCGGAGGCGCCGTGGGCATTCTCGATGCCACCAACAGCACCCTCCAGCGGCGGCAGCTCCTGGTGGAGCACATCCGCCAGCGGGAGCCCAAGCTCGGGATTCTCTTTATCGAGAGTGTCTGCACAGACAAGAATGTGAGTCACTTGCCGCTCCCCTTTTTTCATGTACCAGGGCTGACGACAGACTAGCTTCTCGAAGCCAATATGCGCCTGAAGCTCTCGGGGCCCGATTACAAGGACAAGGATCCCCTCAAGTCCCTCGAGGATTTCAAGGAGCGCGTCCGGGCCTACGAGAGTGCCTACCAGCCGCTGGGCGAGTGGGAGGAGAACAATGACTTGCAGTACATTCAGGTACGGCCCCTCTCCCCTTTTGTCTGGTTGCGTCTAACAAAACGACAGATGATCGACGTGGGCAGAAAAGTGGTCCACTACAGACTCAAGGGGTTCTTGAGCGGGGGCATTGCTTCGTACCTCACCACCTTCAACCTCTCCCCACGACAGATCTGGATCACGCGGCACGGGCAGAGCATAGACAACCAGCAGCACAAGCTTGGCGGTGACTCGGAACTTACCGAGGCGGGCCACGTGTACGGACAGGCGCTGTATCGCTTCATCACGCAGAAGCGCAAGGAGTGGCTGGTGGAGCAGGAGACGAAGCGCGCGCAGTCGTCGTTCCCGCCGGTTCCCGGCGACCACACGCCGCCGTACCCCGAGCCCTACCAGGACCTCGAGGACAAGAACTTTTGCGTGTGGACGTCGATGCTCAAGCGGACCGTCGAGACGGCCGAGTACTTTGACGCCGACGACGACTATGATGTCAAGGCATGGGAGATGCTCAACGAGCTCAACGCGGGCACGTTTGAGGGCATGACGTACGACGAGATCGCCCACAAGTACCCCGAGGAGTACCGCAAGCGCGCCAAGGACAAGCTGCAGTACATCTACCCGGGCGTGGGCGGCGAGGGCTACCTGCAGGTTATCAGCCGGCTGCGCGATATGGTGCGCGAGATTGAGCGCATCACGGACCACGTTCTCATCATCAGCCACCGGTCCGTGTGCCGCGTGCTCATGGCCTACTTTATGGACCTGACGCGCGACGACATTGCCGACCTCGACATGCCGCTGGGCATCCTCTACGCCATCGAGCCCAAGCCGTACGGCATCGAGTTTCACGCCTACAAGTACGACGAGGCCACCGAGTGGTTCCACGAGCTCCCGGAGTACAAGCCGCAAAGAACTGTGGACCGAAACTCATAGGACGATTGACAGTGTACGACTAGACGAGGGGCTTGGGTAATGAACCGGGGCCATGACGGTGTCTTTTTTTGGCGTTTTGGGTATGGCCGGCACGCCATGGCTGGGCCACTGGACAACAGTGCGGGCAGGTGGATAGACAACACGACGACGTCAATACCCGGGCAGTTGTTTTTTTTGGCACAGCCAACAACTTGGAGTTTGGGCTTGTTTGTGGGCGGTTGGAGTTTTGGTGCGGTGGGAAAACCTAGTGATGGATCATGAGTGTATGGTATATCTAGAAAATACGACGTATCCTAATTATCCTGCGATGAGTGGTGGGCGCCCGTTGAAAGGTCCAAAGTTCGATGTGGAAGATTGAACATTTGCCTTTTTCAGCCCTCTCCTCTGGCAACGTCAAAAAATCAACCCCCCCATACACATCCGCTGAACTCCAATTCTCCGATCCACCTCCCTCTTCAGCATCACCAGCGCCGTCGTCAGCACCATCACCACCCCCACCTCCCGCCTCTCTTCTTCCCCGAGTACGTCACCCCCACCCTCTCCGCCCCCGGAAAAAAAACCCATATCAACCATCACCCGCCCCCCATTCCCCGCCGCGCTCGCGCTCGTCCCCCGGCTGCGGAACTCGTCGTTGCGTACTAGTACCGCGACGACTGTCCTCTCCCCGCCTTGTCGGTCACCACTACCACCACCACCACCACCACCACTAGGAAAGCTCGTGCCGCTGCTGGGGTAGGCATCAAACACTCGCCGCTTTGGGGCGGCGGGGACGTACTCCAAAACGAGCACCGACCCCCCCGACTTGTCGAACCCGAGGGTCTGGCGGTCCGCGGAGCGGGAGGGGGCGTAGCGCCATGTGAAAGAGCCGTAGCCGGACCCGGTGCCCGACTCGGCCTCGGGGTCTAGTGCCGGACAGGAAAAGGTCACGGAGCGGGTGAATAGGCTGGGGGACGTGAGCGGGAATGTGGCGAGGGCGAGTTCGTCGTCGCTGTCGCTATCATTGTCTTGGTGGTGGTGGTGGTGGTGGTGGTGGGGGAGCGGGTTCCGCGCGGGTTCGCCGTGCCCGTGTCCCGGACGAAACAGCCGGACGACGGGCGGCCGGCCGGGACCAAAGCGGTACGTTGTTGTGCTTAGGGGGCGGCCTTGGGAGGGCGAGGGGTCGTCGGGGGTGGGGGAGACGAGGAAGGAGGAGCCGGAGGAGGGGACGGGCCGGAGGGAGAGGTACGAGGGGGATGTGGTGGCGCCGGGGACGGAGAAGATGGGAATGGGCCCGGGGCGTTGGTGGAAGGGGAGGGAGAGGAGGGGTCTGCCGGGGGTTTCGATCTGGAAGTTGTGGGTTGGGAGGAAGGCGAGAGATGTGAAAGGGGGGTGGGAGGAGGAGGTGGAGAGGCGGTGGAGGGAGGAGAAGGGGTTGTCGGTCGAGGGGCGGCTTTGGAGCTCGTAGGCGGGGGGAGGGTCGGTGAAGGAGGAGTGGAGGTCGAGGTAAGTCGTCTTCATCTTGGATGGGTGGGATGGTTGGTTGGCTGTGCGAGATGGATTTTTCGTTGGCTTTGTGAGGAGGCATGGCCGTGGTTGATGTATGAACCACATCCTTCAACTTATATCCTCCGCCTCGGAGGACAAAGTCCAACCGGTACTCACTCCCCCCCAATCACCACTCGATGCGACCAACACGGACACAGCCCTCTTCAGGCAACATCCCACCCATCACAGGCTCTACCGTGACAGCAGAACGGCCAAGCTCCACGACCGAACACCAAGAGCAGACAAGCAATGAACCTCCTGATTGTCAACCATGTCTTGGGATCTTGGCAGATCCGCCCCGCTTTTCCTGAATGCGAAATACGGTTTGGGGGGGCTCCAAAGGAAGAAAAAGATGTGATTGGACAAGAGCACGAATAAGGTTGCTGCGCCTTGCCAGTGCCGGGCTGGCGTTCTTTTCACATGCCCGATGGGAGAGGTGCCAAGGCCGGGCCAAGGCAGACCGTTGGGCGCTCTTTTTCGGAAAGGCCGGTCACCGCCGGGTGGTAGGTGGGAAACGGCTTGGGCGGGGGCCTTGGGGTTGGGAATGGAATGGGAGGAGGGATATGGGATCTTGTGAGTGTTGTGGTCGAAGATACTTGTGAGAGAAGCCGCTTAGGTCGAATTTGGTGGTTCGAAGGCGTGCCCGCCTCCCAGCTCACAAACTTTTGACCCAGGATGAAGTTGGGAGAAGGGGGGGGGGGGGGGGGGGGGGGAAGAAGCTCTTCCGAGGGGGGGTTTATAGTGCCCCATCTTACATCAAAAAAGCGGGCACAGAGATTTGGATCAAGGTAAGGAGCAGGACATCATCACTTTCCGTTTTAGGTGCGATTATCTTTGTAACGGAGTTGGTCGAGCCGTGTGGCAGTCGTGAATCCGGAGGCTTCCCCTTTCCATACCCTTCATCTTGTCGTCGGCCACCACCCCCAACCCCGAGCAAAACATAAACTATCCCAACTCGGAGCATCAAGGGCAGAAAAGATGCTTCTAGACTGCAAAAAGAGATCTGCCCAATGACAGGTTTAAACTGTCAACTTTCGCATAACCAGAACAAAGAGATGGAAGCTCAATGTATTAGTACGACACTCTGACCAGCTGAGTTAATCGGGCTTTGCGGATCTTGGTTGTTGATGGCACTGAGTGGTTGCGACTCCTCTTTGTGGAGGGTTGTGCGGATGGGGGTAGGGTGGGCCACGAAGTCCAATGCAAGTCAAATCATGTTGTTTGTGCCATGGAGACATGGATCTGTCGATATATCCTGGCTGAGTACCAGCAACAACATCATCCAAGGCCACCAGAAACACCGCAGGTACAGACCTCAAGGCATAGTCTTCCCAAACGCAGCCGGATCTCGCACCAGCTCCGCCTCGACCCACGACGGCCAGACGTTGTACGCCATGTGCTCGGCATCCACCAACCGATTGAGATATTGCAGCCACCGGAGCAACCCGCGGCCGACGTCGTGATCACCGGAGCCGTCACTACTGTTCCCTTGCCTAGCGTCGTGCTCCTTGGACGCCTTGGCTTCGGTATCCGTGATGATGGCCATGATTTGCTTGAGTGCGATCCAATGCGACGCCAGCAGCACTGTCGTCTGTCGGGTCGGGTCGACGATGCGCTGAAACTCATCGTGCGGGAGCAACATCCACCACCTGAAAGTGTCAGCACATGACAGTAGACGGTAGCAATGGGAGAATGTCAGGGTCGGTGTAGCAACTCACCCGTAGTGCTTGCCCATGGAAAGATATCCTAGTATTGTTAGAACAGGGAGTCAGACAGTCCACACAGAGGAATACATACCCTCCCACGACGACACCCGCAACTGCTCCGTCATGTCCAATATCAGCTCCCAGTACTTAATCTCCGTATCATTCTGACACAGCGGCCTCAGCCCCTGGATCGCACCAGCCGCCGCCTCGACCCAGCTCTGCTCGACCAGCGGCAGCTCGGCCATGTACGGCTGCAGCGCGTCCTTGGCCTGCTCTCCCAGAGCCGCGCCAAACAGCAGCGTGGCCCCCTTCATATACATATGAATCGCCACAATCATGATGCCCCGGATGAACGTCATGTACTCGACCATGCCGTCGTCGACCAGCACCGACTGGAGCGTGAGAGCAAAGCATGTCGCCATGAGCGCGTTGCCCTCCTCAAAGGTATCGGCCTTCGGGGCGTCGGCCAAAGCTCGCTTCACGGCGCGGATGGCCTTGACGCGGTGCTCGATGGCCGGCGCGAGGAGGCTAGGGTCGTTGCACATGAGCTCCGATGCGGCGAGGCCGAGGATGGCGTGCATGAGATACTCGTACTAGAGGATGTTGGCAAGGGGCAGCTTGGACAAGGGATGAGAGGTACCTTTTCCGAGAGGCAGGGTACCTCATGCTTCCAGATGTGTTCGGAGCCGATGGGGTGGTACGGCAGCCCGCGAACCAGAAAATGCTGGAAGAAGCGCACTACGGGAGATTTATGTGAGCATTTACAAGAGCTTAGGGAATGAACGTCTTTGTCTTGGGTATTGTGGGAGCTCCGGGGTCTCCTAGGCAGTATTGGCGGAGATGGAAAAATAATGGAAATAGAAGCCCGGGGTAGCGAGGGATTCAGTACGTACTAGAAAGGCATGTTAGCAAAAAGGGAACTTATTGTTTCTCTGCAGGAGCCGGGAGCTCGGGGTGCTCTAGGGCCAGCATGTCCTCTGGACAAAGAAATTGGGTCTAATACGAACCTGTCTTGGAGGCTGAAGAGAGGAATCTGGTGCTGGGGCTGGTGAACTACAACAGGCGAGCTTGGGTACTCGCACTTGAGGCCCCCCTTGACGCAGTGTCCACAGGCTGGTTTGGCTTCTTGACACTTGATTCTCCTCCGCTTGCAGTTGTAACACCCCCTTCGGCTCTTGGTATGGCCCCGTCGCTCCATCCGTTGCTTACTCGCGGCACTCACGCTGCCGCTCCCGCCGCCGGGGCTCCCTCCTGGCATCATGGCCAATCCCCTCTGGGGGACCAAGGCCTGCTGCTGGGCTTGGGTGAGGAAAGAGGTGGGTGGAGTGGACGTTGACGCAGAAGTGGATATCGGCGACAACCCTAGGGTTGGCGGTGGGAGAGTGGTGTTGGTCGAGGCAGAGCTCTCCTCGGCGAGGTAGTCAATGTCGACGTCCAGGTTCAGGGGGTCGCCGTTGGTGTCCATGGCCGCAAGGTAGGCGTCGTAGGTGAAGGACGGGTCGGTTTCCCCGAAGAGTGGTGGTGTAGGGTCCATTATCCTTGTTCTCTTGTGGGTGCTTGGAAGGATGTCGTGGTGATGGTGAAATGTTTGCGATTTGGACTCTCCGAAGCTCGAACTGCGGTGTGAATTGGGAAATGATACAGCTGTTTGGAGGGAGCCGACTGTCAAGACACCCAACATGAACGTAGAGAGAAGCCAAACACACCAACTACGAGTAGTCGACTTGTCGCCAATTCTCCGCGGTCAATCAAGTGCGCTTGTATAAGTTGGGCAGTTGAATGTGTCGCCTTCGTCCCATCGGGTTTTTGTGCAGACAACAGGGTTGCCAAGCCGTGATCCACCCCCTCTTCCCCTCCAAGACGTCGAAGAGTTGGCGGCGGTGCAGCGAAGACGGGCCGTGTCTAAGCAAAGCCTCGTTGGGCGTTTCTGTGGGCTGTTTCAACGGGCGTGCAGGTCCTAGGGTTTTCACTGCATTGAAGACTGTCGAGGGTTCGAAAACGATTGATGAGGTGGTGATGATTCGGGCGAAGACGCGCGTCTGGAGTGATGGCAAGAAGATGCCCGTTGGTCACTCTTGTTCCTTCCCTGCCCGAAATCCAGTAAAAGAAAGGAAAGCTGATGAATATACCTGGTCAAAGTCCGTCCACTCTGAATTCCATTGTCTAAGATGATGATTAGGGCATGGTCCCCGAAATCTCGCTGAGCCGTGCAACCGACGACTGCTTGGCAAAGAAAGGTCAACCGGTCACCGAGAGACTCGGGTAATATTTCCCTCCGTCTTGCATGTTCAGGTCAGGCCTTGAAGGTCCCAAGCCGGCAGCATTGCTCGTCGCCTACCATTGTCGAAAATGGACGAATCAATCGGGGAGAAGGCGTTTGCACAGCCTTTGTGAGATGCAGTTGAAATGGGAACCGCGAAACCCCCACCACCATCATCCTTTGATCTCGAAAGGGTTAGGGTCCACCTGAATTCCCACCCTCGAGCCACCACCCTTTGACCTGAAGATCCACCACAAACAGTTCCACTCCTTTGATAAATGGCATTCTGGACATCAACAGCCAATTAAATAACTCTTCATGGTGTAGTTGGCTATCACGTTCGACTGTAATTGCAAACTTGTAATCGAAAGGTCACCGGCTCGATTCCGGTTGAAGAGAACGCTGAGTTTTTGCATTTTGGTCTCTCTTCATGAGTAGAACAACACAGTTGACCTATCTTTTTTCTTTCGCTGCCGTACCATGCCGTCCTTTTTGCAGGAGATGGGCTTCCACACTGGCATCTGCGATAATGCAGAGATCGAGTCCAGGAGGAGCACATGTCGAGAGGGCTGTCGAAGGGGGCATGTTCGCAAAACCTCCACGCCAAGACCCCATAACCCGCCAGAGGTGCCATCACCAAAGCCTCACCACACAAACCAGGCTTGGAGAGTCAGATCCCTCACATTCAAGACATCCAAACGCCAAATCCGTATGTACTCATCGTCGGGCGGTACACCGGCCCGGTCCATCTTTGCTGGTGCAGAAGGGGGAAAATCTGCCAGGGCGAGACTAACCTTCCACCTCGGCGGATAAATCCCCGAACCTCACCCAATCCCCTCAAGTTTCAGCCTTTCTCAATACCCTCCCTTCACCATACCTCCCCTCACCACACCTACCCCCTCTCCCCCCAGATAAACAATCTCACCACCACACCCACCACCACTCCAACCCCCCCATCCCCGTCACCCAACCACGGCAGTCGTTAGACCCCTCGAAATAAACACCACTCTACCGTGCAGCTATCTACTCGCACATCACCACCGCAAAGTTCGCCAACGGGATATGCCAAGACCCCCGCCAAGAGCAGCGAGGCGCGGCACTCGTCCCCGGCACGATATTAATAGGGCGACGGACCGTCAGACGAGAAGTAGAAAGTGAACAAACGTGGACGCAATATATATTGCGCCGCTGAAGCTTACCACGGAATAGAGTAGGTACCACACTCCATCCCGCTTCGGAACCGGGAAGAAGCGCGCCGTCGCCCGCCCGCTCGATGTTCGAGAGCTTCCATCTCTCTGGGGGGCTTATTGTGGATTGCCGTCGCCCATTGTTCTCGAGCTAGGATCTTTTTTTACCCGGGATTGTGTGCGACGTGACGAACGACAAGCCACACCGGGATTAGATGGAAGAGGTTCGCCCGGTATGGTCAAAGATTGAGACACGGTTGCTTCTCTGCAGTATGTATGTTTCCGGGTTCTTGATGCTCGGAGGGGTTGATATCTTGGCAACGAAAATGTCGAGCTACTGTGCTGTTTGTTTTACCTGTCATCGGTTTATGCGCGCAGGAGTTCAACAGCAGTAGCATGGAAGGACGTGACCCTGCCACGTGCATCATTGACAATGAGGGATCTGTATACCTCCGCAGTATACATGCGAGGTGACATGTGAGCCCCTTGCGTAGAATTTATTCGTGCGCTCCCTGCGCGACGCCGTTGAGGAACGTGATGAGGGAGTGATGCTGTGGACCACTGTCAAACATGCCCGGCATGGAAAGCAGACCCGGTTGCCGTCACGTCCTATCCTGTCTCCCCACGTGGGTTGCGCGAGCAAAGTTGGGCGGCGGAGTTTGTCACTCCAGAGTCCACAGAGGATGCGGTTGCTGGGACTTGGAGGGCATCCACGGCGGCGGAGGACGGTGTTCCATGGTGGATATTGAAGTTTTTTTCCGGCAAGCTCGCAAACTTGTTTACCCAGTGGAGAGACAAACTAACGCGTCTGGCAAGCTGGCTCGTCTCCCCCTTTTCGGAGAATGGAACGACAAGTTTTGTTTTTGCTCTTGGTTTGCGCACTTTTTTTGGCTTGTGAAGACGACGCCAAAACAAGCCTCTCGGCTCCAATTCTCCGACAGGGGTGAAGCAGAA